ACCAACTCCGATGCAGTGCTCAAGTTTTTTTTAAAACATTTTATTATTGAAATTATTTAAAAAAATAAATTGTTTCCTTCTAAAATATTTAAATGAATATAGGGATGCTAAAATATTTGAATTCTAATTTGTAGCCTTCTAATTGAACTGAATGATTTATTTTAATAAATATTTAAATGATGGTTTACCCTGCATTCCGTTTGCAACATCCATTTTCTTACAACTTGATTAAAACCAAAGCATCTATTCAAAATGGTGGTAGCATAGCCTTCTCTCAGTGTATTGTCTGGAATTGTGGGGGCGACAAATCGTGAGCTAATTAACTCATTGACACTGTGGCCTCTGCGCCCCTCGCCTCCGATGCACTGCAACCCGACCAATTCCCGGGGGCACCGATTCGAGTGGCGTCTGTGGAAGAATCGTGCGTAAAACTTGAGTACGCTCCACATTAAATGGCGCTAATTTCGTGGCATTCGAGTTGGCTTTGGCTTTGGAGCTGGTCAGTGGAAATGAAAATGGAACTGGAGGCGAAGCTTTAGCTGGGAGTCGAGGTCTGGTCTGCAGGGCGTGCCAATGCAATTAGCATTAGTGCAGTTGTGGGGGAAGGGGAGGGCGTAGGGGAAAAGCGGAGGTCGAAACTGATAAATGGCTGCAAGTTGAGGTTTGTTTTCCTTTTGCCCAGGCCCAGGGCAGTTTGTTTGCCGCTCTCCGCTTACAAAACAAACCGAAATGCCAGCCGCGGCACCAGGCGAGCAAATAAAACGGTTTCTTCCAGGAAACGTGACAAAAACGTCAATAACTGCGGGCCTCCATATGCTAGTATATAGCATACCCTATACCTATATAGTGGCTGCAACTACGGCGATTCCGATGACGATGCCAATACCAATACCAAAAGCAAAACCAATACCGATGATGGCCAGGGCCACTAGTTGCAGCATGTGACAAATCGCAGTTGTTTGTTGACTTTGCCGCATATGCAAAATGCAAAATGCAATTACTTAGGGCCCAGTGTAATCTAAGACGCTTCACCCAGACCCAACTCAAGACCCCAGAGCCCAGACTCCTGAGTCCAAAGAACAGGGAACCCAGCTGCAATCGTCAGCGTTAAAGTTCCGGGAATGCAGCCATCGAAGTGAATGCCTCAGACGACATTCCAGGAACTATTGGATCTCCTAGGGGCAATGCTCTTGGGGGAAGTTACGCTTAAAAGCCAAGGATAACACTAGGTTTTGCATTGGGAAAAAGTCAATCATGAAGATTCTTCCAAAATGTAATTTTGTTTGGAAAAAAATAACCCTATATCATAAAAAGATGTTTATAAAACTATAAACAAAATTTAAGTATAAGTTGCTTTGCCTGTCATTTGCTTGCATTTACTCAAAGTCCCCGTCTTTAGCTCGCCTCGTTAAATCATAAGCCTGCATGGAATTCTTTTCCGCATAAATAACCCATAGGAGAGTGAAAGTAGAATCTGGAAAGTAAAATCAAATATGGTTAGACTCGATAAATATGCCAGGGAAATGGCTCTTGATTATCATAGAGATCGATAAGCTGCGATTTATGCTTATCAAGCCGCCGAGATGAGAGTTGGCAACGCCCACCGACCCAGCGATCCACCAATCTCTCGGTCACTATCCACACAGATCCCATAACTCAAATCGAAGACGAAGGCGAAGATCATGCTGATGGAATGACAAAGTGACCGGAGCGATGGAACAACCGTGTTGACCATACCCATATGTACACGGATGGATCGTAAAATCTTTTTCTGATTTTCTGATCGTCTCCGTTGTTTTTCGTACATGTGCCGCAATTACGAGGCTTTTTGACGCCCCAGCTCGCTGTCGAGATATCTGATTTTTGTTTTTATTTTGATTTTGATTCGCCTTTTGATTTTGGATTTTGTTCATGCTGTGCAGTTTAGCATTTTATGATTTTTTAATTTTATGTTGATGAAGCTCATTGCTTGCATATTTGATTACCGTTTTGGTTGTTGTCTCTGGCTGTGTTTTTTATGGTTTGTTTGCTGGCCGTGTTCTTTGTTTTCCTGATTATTCCAGCATAATGCTCGATTCGCTTGTTTTTAGGCTTCCCTCTGGGTGTGTCATTTGTTACATTTTCGGGTTTGGACATTATATATCAAGAGCTGTGTTTTTACGGCCCACAAAATAAAGCTGTGCCCAGCTGGTGGGCCAGACCATATAAACGGGGGTATTTATAAATCTGAAGAAAGTATAAAAAATCAGGAAATTATTAACCGAAATTATGAAATATAAAGCTCAAAACTAATTATAAAACCCAAATTCGCAATACACCCGTCTGGTATGAAATTCTTATCGCTTGTTTACGGATTTTTGCCAGTTCGTGACGCAAATTCTATGACGTCGCAGCCTTCAGTTAGTGACAATTAAATTATGGCCAGCCAGCCGCTATCATTCAATGCCATAAATGCCCATAAATTAGAACAAACAGCCCGCTCGAAATTCTATATCCATCGCTTCGATTCCGAAACAAATCACGCCCCCATATCGAGCACTATCGATAGCATCTCAGAACGCCCTTTCGTTGGCTTTATTTTGCCATATTTATGCTGATGCATTTCCCAGTTCGAACGCCTTTCGAAACTAAACGAAACGAAACGAGACGAGGCGAGGATTCCACTCACCATGACTAATAACTTAATTAGAAACTCGGCAGAAGACGAAGATTTGGTTGTTAAAATCTTAATAACTTGCGGCAAAAATGCGACCCGATCGAAGCTTTTTATTGAGTGAAAAACAAACCCGTACCGAAGATCTCTAAAATATCCAAAAAGATCGAAGCCCATAAAAATTCCGAAGCCTAAAATGCATTTGATGGCTTTTTTGGGAGTGTGAGTGTGCCGTGAAAATAAAAATAAACATTTGGCTTTTCTAGTTTGGGTTTTGTTTTCTGTAGGGGGCAATCTTGAGTTACATAGACGCTAGGAACTGAGGCACTTTCAATGTCAAAGTCATTGGGAGTTCAACGATATCAAATCATGGGTCATCTAATGGATTAACTAAGCCGCAGAGACCGCAACAATGTTACCGTTGTTCATCTGGATGGACTTGCACTTCCTGCTCGGCTGAGAAATCAAGTAGGCAAATATGGTACAATGGCGGTGGATCGAAGTTTGCATCGTTTTTAGAGGGGAAAATAAAAGGGGAACTGTAACCGATACTAAGTGTTAGATATGACTGAAGAAAAAACTGATCCTAGAATATGTTTCTTAATCTAAAGCTCAAAAATAATTTATTTTATTTCTAAAATATAAATGTTTACAAATCTTTATTTAATTAGATTCTGAATTAAAAAAGTTAAAACATTCCAATAATGTTATTTCAATGTTTTTGATTTATACCACACAAACTGATCATTCTAAGTTAATAATTAAAAGTTAATGTATGTGTTTTATTAATATCAAATATAACCATCCATAAAACTGTATAGTAATTTTAATTAAATTACAAGAAATTGTATAAAATTTATAGATTTTTGAAGGATCAAATAACTTGTTTTGGGACTACTTTTTTTCTCCCAGTTCAGCACCAAGTGCGCACTCACAAGTGCAGGCTGCCGGAGGGTGCTCCACTCGGGGTTTGTGTCACCAAACTAATGAAATCAATAAGCCAGTCGAGCGGCCGAGCCGTGAATCACAATAATAACAACAAAGGCAGCTCCCTGGGGCATAAGGCACAAGTGGCTGCCACCGGCGTTCAAAGGTGTGAAGCACAGAGTCACTCAAGCCCTCAGCTCGCCTCGGCTTATGAAATATGAGAGCTAAGAGCCGAGATCCCAGAGTCGAGAACTCAGAACCGAGAGCTCAGAACTCAGAACCCATACCGAGACCAAGACCAAGAACGGCGACTCTTGCCAAGAATTTGTGTGCATAAATTTAATTACTGGCAGAACGGCAGAATGGCGGACGACTGAGACCGGGGCTGAACCCAGTCACCTATCAATCTAACTCGAGTGGCTTTTCTCCTCGTGTTGCCTTTTTCTTTGGCTTTTCAAGTGCTTTACTTATTAGTGACTTTTGTGGCCGCATCCCTAGCCCTCCTCCTGGTCCACCCCGCTGAAGTTCAATAGCCTGTCGAGGCCAGATACATTTACGGATACAGTATCTGAAAAACTGAAGCCAGGGGCAGATGCCCCGCCAGCTACTCCAGATACATCTGTCGGTTTATAATTAGCGGAGAGAGCATGCGCACCTTGGCTACTTGACTCCGAGGCTTTCGAGGTTTAATGCATTGGCCGACTATTTTGGGAAATTGTTTTGGTATTTGGTCGAAATTATAGCAAACAAATTTGGGTGATTGCAAATGAGTCGAAGTATCAAGAATTATTATTTGGCTTTTATGCATTTCTCAATATTGAATAGTTAACAATAGTAGTAATAACTTTTGAATAAGAAGTAAGTCAAGAGAGATTATTAATTTTATAGCAAAAAATAATATTTTGCATACAGTTGTGTTAACTTTTTAGTTTGACCTTTTTTTTATTTTAGTCCCTTTTTAAATTTAACTTATAGCTTCAAAAGATTTATAAACCTTCCCAATATTTGTGGTAATAAATCAGTTTATAAAAAGTTAATAGTTTTAATGTGCTTAACAAGGTCTTAACATAGCCTTAATAAACTATGCTTTGTTTCGACAGCTCCTCAATGTAATATAAATATTTGACAGTAACTCATCACCATCGACATTCATTAAGTAATATCCGCTAAGACACGTGTTTCGCCTAAGGTCAAAGTTCTAGTCCTACACACACTTTTATCTCGATGTTAATGATAAACCCCTGCCCTCACCCATCGTTACCTTCCGTTTTGGCACGCTTAATCACTTCGACGAAAAGAGCCATGTTTGCCTTTAATTAAAAATGTTTTTGCCCACCAAATATTTACATCAATTAAAAACACTCGCCAGGCTGATTAACTAATGGAATTAATTTGTTGTTTTCGCTTTTGTATTTTTCAGAAAATATAACGATAGTCGGCTTCCCGGATTATCTGAACAACGAATTCAAAATAGCACTGTTCGCAAAAGAAACTCAAAGATATTTGTGTTTCAACGACAACTGGAGATTAGTTGGCATGGTGAGTAGTGGTGACCTTTAGATCGTAATAGGCATGGGAGTTCTCCGTCTAGGCGACTGATTCACCTCCCAAAGGGGGTGCATCCCCCTAATAGATAAAAGACGACGACGCCAAGATGAAAGGGAATTTCCATTTCCACACAATTTGTTTATGGATAGATAAAGTTTATGGCATCTTGTGCAAGCAAATTGCCGGCAATAGCCATAATCATATGCTTGACAATATTTGTTCCGCCGGTATATAGATGCTGATATAGCCAAGGCCCGGTGCAGCGATTTTGATTGCATTGCATTCGTACTTCTACTTCGCATACTCGACAAAGTACAAAGCGCCCAGTGTATACGACTTCTCCTCGAATTGTTTTTATGCAAACTAACTGTACAAACACTGTAATTTATGACATGTTCCACATAATGGCTTTATGCAAACGATCGCTTATACGACAATAACAGTATTATGGCATTATGGCCAAATTGTCAGCCACAATGGGTGAAAACCTGTTGCGGCTGCACCAAATCTGTCAGCGGGCCGAACGAAATATTTATTACAATATTTTTGTAATTTGTAATTCGAAAATGCGAACAATTTCATATGCAATTACGGCCGAATGTGGCACAGATTTTCAGATAGGCTTACGCGGCGTATGCGTGATATCGCACGGAGCAATGAATTGCAACTGTTCGGGTATTCGGAGGAAATGGAAAATCAAATTTTCGAAACATTGTAACAGTTTCGCTCAGCCCCGTTTCAATGTCACTCGCTAAAGTGCCGGCCACTCGAGGACCGAGATTTGCCGAGATTCATAAAAGGCAAACAACTCGCCAAAGCCAGTTAGATATGTCCAATCAATCAGACGGATGACGCGGCACTTAATTGCGGCTGTTATGTGGCAATGGCGAAAACATTTCAATGTCCTTTTCGCCACTCTCAATACAGTTAGTTAGCTATACCGCACTCGAGCTCTGGGCAAACAATAGAACCCCTAAGGTCAGACACAACCCGCACTTGTCATTCTACCTATTGCTATTCTATTGCTTTCGATTATGACCGCACTCCATTCGATATCTTGGGCGGCTTTTCCCGCTAAGGTTAGTGCGGTGAGTGTGGGCCGAGGTCGCAGAGTTTCGCCGTGAGTCACATATTGATTACTCGATCCGATCCCTGCTCGAAATAGAATGGAATAGAAATGTGTGTTTACCCCAAACACTCTGCGCCACTTGACCAGCGATGAGAAGCTGCTCAAAAATAGCAATTACGAGCTATAAATATGCGAAGAGCAAACAAGTAGTCCGTCGCTAAATATGGCACAAGCCTTAATTGCTTGGGAAATGTTTCATCTGCGTCGTTTGCAACACTTTGGGCCGCAATCTGAGAGATCTGAGCGATCAGATCGGACCGCTGATAGCAGAAATGGCCAACACGGCAGCAACACGCGCTCAACGACTCGAAGAGAAAGGTTAGGGTTTATGGTGTAGGATCTCTGAATACCCTTTAATTTTCGGGATTTTTTAATGAGCAAGCAATTTATTCGTTTTCATAAAAAGAGTTACCCTAAAATCGTTAAACACCCCTGCAGGAAAAATGCGAACTAGTCTGAAAAACAACTAGTTATACAACAAATATAAAGCAACCGGAATTTGTCTGAATGCATTTGGACTACACAGGGTCTAGAAAATTTGTGCTAGTCGAAAAAATGATTAATACAAAACTAGTAAAAAAGAAACTTGTCTCGGACTAGTACCTTTCTGACAAAAAAAACCTTAAAAATATTTAACTGGTAGAACAAATACATGTTACAAATACATACAAGGCAACTGGAATTAAACTAGTTGCATATGAAACACATATGATTCAAAAATATAGCCTAGAGTGTAAATGTCTTGGGAAATTTAGCACTAAACATATCAAACACTCGAGGTCCTCGGCCCCTACCAAACCCACAAATTCAATCCCCAGTCCTTGTACATTTTTTTTTTTAAAGTTTAAAATAAAAAAATTTTTTTTTTTATATTTATTCCTAATAAAAGAAGAAAAATTTTTCAAATCGGACCATTCATTAAAAAGTTTACGCAATAAAAACAACCAGAGTGATGCTTTAGTGGAAAAACACCCAAAAAAAGTTCGTTTTTTTTTTGTGTGAGGGTATTAAATAGTCGGGACACCAACCCGACTATAGCGTTCTCACTTGTTTTATTTTAAACTTTGTTTAATCTTTCCGAGGCAATATATTTGTGAAAAATCACTGTTTTTAAATTATGTCACACTAAAATTAATAAACCTTGTTAGTGCATTACAAAATGTGATGCGTGTATGGCTCAATCAGTTGGTGTGTCTACAAATCCAAAGGTCCCGGGTTCAAGTCCTAGAGAGGGCGTCTTGCCTCAAAAAAAGTAAGTTTGTTTTAATTCCTTTTAATTATCATTTACTGTATTTGATTACATAATAATTATCAGAAATTCTCTAAGGACCGCGCCTATTGATTGGATACTAAATTAGGAGAGTGTCAAGTTAGGCATCGTCAAGTACTAGTGAAATTCAATCACTTGATAGTTTAGAGATTAATTTTTAGTTTTTTCGTGAAAATATTTTTTTGAGTGTAGTTTAACAGCTGTTACCATAAATTGGTTACCAGTAACTAGTGCAAAACTAGTAGAAAATGGACTAGTTGTTTCCGACGACAAGCATACGAAAAATGGACCACTTCGTTACAAGGAAATGGACATAACTTTAACTAGTTAACCTTCTTGACCCAACTAGTATATTAATAGTCCAAAACTGATTCCGTTTCCTGCAGGGACCAATTAAGTTTATTATAACAATAGAGAGAACAATTAAAAAGTAAAGTAACAAAATAAATTAACAATTTCCACGATTATTTGCCTTAAGGTTTTGATCAATATTTCACTCCACACCGTCTATAGCAAACCAATATCCCCTAAATAAAGATTTCCAGGGTATTCCAACATCCAAGTCATAAGCCGCGTTTCATTTGGTTGTCGTTTTGAGATTTCAAGTGTTTTATAAATAAACAGAAGGCAGTCTAAACGTTCGCTCCTCGCGCGATGATGTCGCTGTCATCGTTGTCGATACGCATATCAGAGTGGCAGACTATCAGACAATCAGTACATCCACCGCATAAAACACCTTACAGACCCTACAGACCTTATGAACGGAAATGCCGCTCATAAATTGCATATATCTATATCCATATATCTCTTTCTGGTTGCAGAGGGAACTGCGAGATACCTGCTATTTCAACGAGACCATCGTGCACGGTTATTTCGTGTTCCGTTCCGTTGTCGATCTGCAGCGACGTGTCGGGTTCACGCACCGAGGTAAGCCTGTGGGGCCCAAGAAGAGCGTCAACGATGCCTGCTACATGTTCAACAAGATCGAGGCCGAGCAGTTTTTCCGCCATCACCATGGCAATGGCAATGGGAATGGCAACGGCAATGGCAAAGCAGTGGCAGCAGCAACAGTCGGAAGCCCCCGCGCAACAACAAAAACAATCGCCACAAATCGAATAACCAAAATCAAAAGTTGCAACAGCAACAGGAGCATCATGGCCATAATAATAGTAACGTTATTCTTAATAATAGTAGTACTAGTTTAAGTAGCACTAACAAAAAGCAATTAGCGATAAACCGGCAGAAGCAGCAAAAGCAGCAGCAACAGCAGCAACATCAGGTGCGACATCATCACAATGATCCATCGCTGCTGCTGCGACGACAGCAACACGAGAAGAAGCAGAAGCGGCGCAAGCAACAGAAGCAACAGCAACACCAACAACGAGTATCAGCTAGTCCAACGAATCAACAAATGCCTGCAACAGCAACACCAACACCAATAGCAACAGCAACATCCCCGGCAACAGCAACACAATCGACAACAGCAACATTGAGCAGCAAGCGCAAGGGGCGGCGAAGAAAGGGCAAGGGCAGGCCAAAGGCACAGCAACTACTTGCCACGGCAGCAACATCGCCGTACACCGACGACACCCTCGATAGCTACAACAGCAGCGGCAGCAGCAGCAGCAGCTTGGAGCCCTGGTCCACTTGGTCCACGATCGACAGCTTTAGCGGCAGCAGCACAACAGCAACATCTGACGACAGTATTAGCAGCAGCAGCAACTACGACGCCTGGGCCACCTACATCACCGAAATGGAGGCCGAGGCATCGGGACTGGGCGCCAACGACACCGAGTTGCTGCCCGAGTTGGTGGACGATCCGGAGACGGAATCCACGGCGACAATTGAAACCAAAGCAACATCAGCAATAGCGGCAACGGCGGCCACAACTACCTCGACGGCGGGCACGCAGCTGGTGATAGAGCAGACGCCGCTGGCCAGGAGCAACATCAGCCACAGAAGCAACAGCAACATCAGCAGCAGCAGCACACGGGCAACACCAACGGCCACAAGTCAGACTGAAATTGAAATCTCTGCACAGAGCACGCAACACAGCAGGGAAAATCCAGCGGAAAACCTGGACAATTCCCAGATATTACTGGCGGGCGAGAACGAAGTGAAGCCACAGCAGCAGCCACGCAAGTTGCTCTGGACCCTGCAACCGCCAATCGCCACACGTGGCAGCACGCGAGCAACTTCGGTGACAAAACCCATGCACCAGCAACTCTCCAGCACGGCAGCAACAGCGGCCACGACCCCGCAGCAACATGTTGCTCCCTCACTGTTTAGCGTGGACAAGAACATCAACAGTAACCTGAACAACACTCTGACGGAGGCCTCGCCAACGGCAGCAGCAACATCCAGCATTACGGCAGCAACAACCATGAAGAGACCCGTCCGGAAGTTCACCAGGAAGCTGATGGCCACGCCCTATCACCAGCTGACCTACGTGCGCAACGCGGGCGGGGACATCGACATCGACAACCTGGACAACATCAGCGTGTATCCCGTGCTCTACAACGGCGATCTGGAGGGGAATGGCAGCGGCAACAGCTCCGACGGCGGCTTCAGCGGATTTCTGCCCACCTCGACCACCTCCCATCTGACGGAACCGATTCGCATCGGCATGAACAGGATCCGGCCGAACAAGACGCTGCACTGGTTCACTCACCAGAGATTTGCGTAGTAGTTAGGGAGTGGCAGCTTTGGCTATTAGATCTTTGAGGGCAGGTCTGAAACGGCTTTAACTTTCCCAGATAAATTTCAAATATGTAAAATCACAATTCCAATTAATTGCCAGTTAAAAGTAATACAATTTGAAAATGGAATTTTCTTGCCTTTTCCTCATCAGCTAGTAGTAATTTCAAAACTTGATCATTTCTGTGAAAGTGAAAGCCAGAACAGACCTGCCTAAGAGATAAATACCTACTCAGTACTCAGTTTTCAAAAGAATTTAGGCAAAACCAAGTGAAGAACAAAAATGTACGGATAAATATTTCAAATTTATAATGAACTGATACATATATATAAACATATATAGAACTCGATATACAAAGGAGTTGCTTACTGTTCAGTACCTCGACTCAGACAGGACTTTTGCACTAGCACCACGCCTAAAAGCACACAACAGAAGCGGAACCGAAACCGAAACCGGAAGCGGAAACGGGAGCAGAACCGATAACGATAACTCAGGCCGCACTTCATCCAGTAGCGAGTACAGTGAAGACTCCACCAACTGCACTCGAGAGGCCGCAGGCAACGAACTCGCAGAACTGCTACATAGTTATAAATGAAAAGACAATAAGATTTTTATTTACGAGTATGTGCTATATAAACTAACAAAAAAAAAACGATGGAATGAACCGAAGCGATAGCGATAATCGATAACAAATGCTAAAATTGTTGAAATGAAAATTATGAAAGCGCGACATTCAGGTGCAAGCAAATAAACGTTTCGAATGCACTGAGAAAGCGTAGCAAACTTTTGATTTACTAAATCAATTAAATATATTAGCAATGAGAATTAATAAATACAAATGCAAACAAAAATCGATATATATTATATACATATATGCATATATTTTCAAAATTTTATAACGAACCAAAAACCAATTAGCAAACAAATTTAAAAAGATGAACGGGAAACGAATGAAGACGTTTTTTAAATTCATACGCAAGCAGAACTAAGAGTCGGTAACGATAACGATAACAAATTCGCACAGCAAAACACTTCCAAAAAAGAAAGGTTAAAACTAAATATTAAACAATTTTACTAGGCACAAGCGTACGAAATTGGGCTAGATGAACAAAAAGAGAACTTCATTCAAAATAAACCGAATTTTTTAAGCAAATACAAAGAGTTGTTGAAATGGTCAGCATGCAAATTGATTTTAGGACGCAGTTTGTGGGGCGACATCCAGTTCAAGGAGGGATAGAAACAAATTTTGAGCATTGGAAAATTTTAAAAAACTACTAACGATATGTACTGCAACCAAACACCAAATTCACACAGAATAAGCAACGTTATATTTATTAATTGAACAAAAACTAAGAAACTAAAACTACAAATAAAATCAAAATACAGCAAAATGAAACCAACTGCTGCTTTTCTACATACAAATATATATATATAAACACATATAGGCATATGTGTACGAACATGGAAAAAGATATGCAAAAATTGTTTCTCATATATTTATATTAATATTTAAAATAAATAGTTCAAACATATTAGCAAACCAAATATGCGAAATTAAAACAATTTGAAGGGAAATGCGTAAACACAAAGCAGAAAGGCAGAAAACTGAAGCGTCAAGTTTATATGTAGAGATATGTATGAATGTAAATTTAAAGTGAACAAAGAAAACCCAAACAAAAAGAAGTTAAAGCAAGATGCTTAGGTGAAAATTTAATTAGTGTGTACTTAAGACAAGAAACCATTTAACAATTGAACGATTAATTATTAACTTAACTAGGCATTGAAGCAGCACTCAACTAAATAAAACCTAAAAACCTAAAACCGATACGAAACCGAAACGAAGCCGAAAACACACAACACACAACTCGAATTGAACTACTGTACTTATACGTATGCGCGTTGCTGTAATATAAACAAAATTCTTATGTTGAATCGACGGCGAACGGGCGAACTCCATTATTTGATGACTATATCTACCACAGCAGAAACTATTTATTTAAACCTATATCGAATCGAATCGAGTTGGATCGAGTCGATTGGATTGGAGTGGAGCGGGGACCGATTGTCATTTGTCATTTGTAAATTCATTTGCACTTTTCTTTCTACTAATTACGTTTAATTAATTAATTAATCATACGCCTAAGTTAACACTTCTACCATTGTACATTGTAATATGTTTTATTCCTAAGCCGAGCATTAAATGTAATTATTTATGTATAAAAGCAAAATGATTCTTTCGCCCATGTATAACACTTGCGCCCTCTTCTCATCCTTTCTCCAAGTCTGTCTCCCCTCCCTATCTCTATTAATCTCTATCTTATATATACGAATATATAAACGACTATTTAATTGCATTTCTTTGTATTAAAACGAGTAACAACACACTAGAAATTGAATAAAAAGCCTCAACAAAATCTTCAACACTTTTCATTTCTCTTATGAGTTTTCTTCATTTCCAACTCTTCAAATAAATGCTCAGTTGTTTCCGTTTTGTTGGTTTACGAATGTGTGCAGAAAAATCGTATAAATAAAAAATATATATAAATTCAAAAGGCAATTGATTTTTTTGAAATGGTAAATTACGTAAGTATAACCTTAAAGGATTTTTTAATGACAGTTTAACATAAGAATAAATGTGTGATTTTATCCAATATAGCATAGATCGCAAATAACTGTTGACCGATTCGTGCGGTCCCCAAATAACTGTTTTACTCTGAGACTTTGAGCCAGTGTTCCCAGATCAGGGGTTTTCCCCCTAGATTTAGGGGTTTTTTGACGTGCTAGGGGGAATTTTAGGGGGGAAGAATTTTTAGGGGGAAAGTTTAGGGGCTTTTTTTTGAAAATTGTATTATCCAAATGTTTTGAAAAAACACTAGAATATTTGATTTTCTAAAAAATTGCCGCGCATATAAATTACCTAAATATGGCAAAAATATCAAAAAAATACTGCGCACGACTTTACTATCGAGTGTAAGTGTTACCAGCTGATGGCGGATTCTGGGAAACCGCCTTTAAGTTTTCTAACTGTGATTACCGAAAAATTTCGTATCTGGTTAATAATTGAATTTAAGTTTAACATGCCTCCAGTGCTTCCAAAAACCAATTTCTCAAATGAAGTTCTCGAGGTGATCTCTTAAAATTCGATCTCGTTTTGTAGTATATAAATAAATATATACATGTATTTCAAAATATAATAATAAATATATGTTAAACAACAAATTACTATACAGAGATTTTTCCAATCTAAACATTTCTACAACGCCATATTGATTTATTTCTTATTTTATTGTATATTTTCGAAATTAAGTAAATTTTTGAATTTAGGGGGAAAACTGGATTTTTTAGGGGGAAATATCGACTGTTTGAGATTTTTTAGGGGGAAAGCAAAATTTTCATCTGGCAACACTGCTTTGAGCAAACAATCAGAGGCAACCGATTGAATTGTTCGTACAGAAATTTTGCTCGCACTCAGCCGACGAGCAGTTTTTTCGGCTTTCTTTTGCTCGGCTCGCTTACAGACCGATTGCTCCTGAACGACGTTTCAAAAAGTATTTTGCGCATGTGTTAACGTTAACGTGCTTGGGCGATATTGCTCTCCCTTTCACTCGCACGTACTTTCAAAGGGAATACATTGTATAGTTGTATTAGTGAAAAGACTTTTTGCGATAACTTTTTCAGTCAATCGGTCTTTTAATAAGTCTCCCTGTGCGAGCGACATTCGTATCTCTCATTGAACGAGGTTCGTAACAGAGCGTCTCACGAACAGCTCAACGTAAAAGGCTCAACCGAAAACCAAAACGAAAGGAAACGAAGTGTGCTGCGCATATTCTTTTATGCTTAACTTGTCCAGGGTGAAGGCGCGTGCCGATCGGACGTCTATATCCTATAGCTCTCATAGGAACATAAGGGTGAAAAATTTTAAAATTTAATTTTTTTCAATTATAAAATATTTTGTTTTGTTAATTCACGCTGCTATTCTAGTCAAGTTTTCATTCGTGAAATCTGCAAGGGTATTAAAACTTCGGCTTGCCGAAGTTAGCTTCCGTCCTCGTTAATTAATTGAAATATAATAATATAAAGAAAAGAGCACTTACCGAATCTTCCCTTTATTTTTATTAAAAGGATTATAGTGCGAATTAATAATTTTTTTATTACGACATCATTATTAAAGGTTGAGGCTTGTACTGCGTAGAACTTTCTCATCCTATCCTGGATATCTTTTACCAATTTTTTAAATGTTCTTTCCATTCGTACAGTGTTTGCGTGCGCAAAACTAGGTGTAATTAAATTTCTTCTCATTTTTTTAGCGGACCTTTCATAAGCGAATATTTGCGGTCTTATCTTAGCCTGTGTATATTCAAAATTTAAAATTTCTGGCTCCGCTAATATAACATTCATGTCCATAAATGTTCCGCGTTGGGTTTGTCTTACGTAATCATCTAAAAATCGATGATTTGATATACCCGCCGAGCGCATGGAGTCATCAAGATGTTTGCGGTCAATTATGTGGGGCACACTGGTTATATGGCGGAACCTCACATTGACGCTGTTATTATCAGTGATAAACGCCGCCAATTTGGATAATTTGCCATGATAATGAATCGCATCAATGGCGTTATTGTATTCCATTGCAACGTCTACTGTGGTCACTCCATGGGACTCCAGAACCTGTTAAGGATTAAATGTATTAAAAACGTGAACATTGTTCATTGAACATAAACAAATAAATACATAAATGTTGTTGAATCAGAAATAAAAATTGTAGAATTAGACAGTCAAGGGGCAGCAATAGTAGGGAAACGATTTACCAATTTAGACAGGTTTTATGATCTACCAGTAGTTTCAACATGTTTAGGTATTTATTTTGCTAAAGATATGTCTATGCAAGAGGAAGAAAGATTTCCTTTAGAAAATTTAGAGTGCAAGGCCGTTGTTATTCCAGGGGAAAGTGGGATGGTTATTTTTCCCATGCTTCATTTTTATTAGGGAAGTTTAAAAAAATAAATATTAATGTCGTAGTTTATTGTTTTTGTGGATTTGTTTGTTTTGTCAGATGTGCCGGTTTCATTGGTTTTGTTAGTTTTTATTTATATTTTTTGAAGATAGAATAGAAGAACAGAAATGGCTACTCCTTCAAAAATCTCGAAGCGCAGTTTCACAGATTTTTCCTTTGGTATGTATAATCTCATTACGACCGAATTTGTTACGTAAAGTACATTCGTTTTCCATTTCAGACGAACCTTTTCAACAGCCGTCAGTGTGCACAAATTGTTGCGAAGTTAAGAAGCAAATCGCGGAAATAAATGGTAAAATGTTAAATTTTTTAACGTTAAATTTTGTTTTGCACTATAAACCTTACCAAATTTTTTTGTTTTTAAAAAATGTAAAATAATTTATATTTAATTTATATTATTTTTAAATAATGGTTTCAGTGATGTTTCTTTTCTTAAATATGTATATTTTTTCCTTGCTAAATGCTCTTATAATCAAATTTTAATTTCTTTTAGAAAAACTTGAGGAAATAATTCTTTCTCTTGCGGAACAAAAAATTATTGTTTCGCAACTGATGCGGCAACGAGTGGAAAACACAAACGTGGCGAAATGTTTCCCAATTAAAGACGAGGAGGCCCTAAATATAGTCAACCAAAATATTAATAGTTGTGCTAAGGATTCCTACGTAAGTCTTTTTTCTTTGAGATAAACATTATAGTGAAGTTTTCTTCCTATTTAGATAAAAGCCATGAGATCGTTGTTGCTGCCAGAAGGGGTTTTAAAAAACTTGCGGAGGATTCTCACAGATAAGTTTGTTGTGGGATTTAATGTTAAAGGCCTTTCTGGAAAAAAAAGCCGTAAACTCCTTTACATATTTCGGTGGTGCACTTCAAGGTAGGTTATTTTTATAACTGTATTTTTTATAATATACTTAGTTTCTTGATTCAATTTCAATCTATTGTTTTAGAATGCCATCTGTCTTTAATCCTATTTCTTTCAGTCTTTTTCTGCTTTTCACTTTTAAAACATGGTTTAATGTGAACAGGCTTGTATAACAAAAACTAAAAATATGTATTTAAACCCATGCAGAGGGAATTATAATTTAGTCCAGAAGTTTGTTACGCAGTAAAGGAGACCTTTTCAAACCTATAAAGTAAATCCATTTAACCATGTCCGTCTGTCTGTCGGTTCAAGTTTCAAAAGCGTGAAATAAGTCTACATTTAACTGTTGGTTATTCTTATTTTATATTTATGCTTTTCTAGTCACAATTTTATTCCTGAAAGCTGCAAGGGTATTAAAACTTTGGCTTGCCGAAGTTAGTTTCTGTTCTCATTTTATTTTAAAACACTAAAATCTTATTTTTTTTTAGATATTTTTTCAGAATCTGGTTATGCAGAAATATTGATTCCCAAGGCAATTCAATTGCAAAAGAAACGATTTTTTAAGAATAAATCCAAATCAAATAATAACAAAAATGAGGCACTCAACAAAAACGTGTCAGCAGAGGAATTTGTTCAATAAATATAAATTAAAAAAATAGAAAAATTGTCTACTTATTATACAATAAATTAATTTAACAAAAAGTATTTTTTTGGAAGCATAGCATTCAGCTTTTTTGGTATTGAAAACACCAACCCCATTTCATACCCCTTTTCGCCACAAAAGGGACCGATAGGTGGTCCGATAGATGGTCCGATAGGTGGCCCCTTTTGTGGCGAAAAGGGGTATAATATGGGACCACCAATCGGTCCCTTTTGTGGCGAAAGGTAATGCAGAACTTCGCCATATGACCACCGCCTAGGACATGCCGTGGTAAAAGTGGATAGAAATTTACATTGCGGGTGGTATGAACGGGAGTTAAGCCTAGTACTCAGTACGACGAAAACTGCTAGCTAAGCATAGGAGTAAGCGAGAGGCAAATAGGTAGCTAAAGCCCCCCTGTAGTTCGCCGGGACTGGTCCCGAACTAGCGAAATCGCCATACACCGGGGGCTTGGGACAACTCCCGTTCATACCACCCGCAATGTAAATTTCTATCCACTTTTACCACGGCATGTCCTAGGCTACTCAGTACTTGAGCCACTAAAAGGAAATAGTGTCCCATAAGAAAATACCACTCGCGAAAAGGGGTATTAAATGGGACCCCTCCTCCCTTTTGTGCGAAAAGGGGTATGAAATGGGGTTGGTGTTTTCAATACCAAAAAGCTGAATCTATGAAACTTCCCAAAAAAATACTTTGTTAAATTAATTTATTGTATTATAAGTAGACAATTTTCTATTTTTTAATTTATATTTATTGAACAAATTCCTCTGCTGACACGTTTTTGTTGAGTGCCTCATTGTTGTTATTATTTGATTTGGATTTATTTTTAAAAATCGTTTCTTTTGCAATTAATTGCCGAATCAATATTTCTGCATTACCAGATCTCAAAAAAAAAAAACCTAAGATTTTATGTTTTAAAATAAAATGAGAACGGAAACTAAGCTTTCAGCTTTCAAGAATAACAAATAAATAGTCTTATTTACGCTTTAAACTTGAACACAGACAGACGGACATGGTTAAATGGATTTACTTTATAGGTTTGAAAAGGTCTCCTTTACTGCGTAACAAACTAATTATAATTCTGCATGGGTTTAAATATATAGGGGTATTCCCTAAACTGTTGAATTGTTGGAAATTCAACAAATAATTTCAGCAATTAAGGGAACGACCCAAAATGGTTCCTGTTGAATTTTCAAACAGCTGTTACTTGTTGCAAAGTTTCACGAAACTTAAAGCATGTAAAATTTGATTTATTATTGCTAGTTACTGTCTAAAAGTATTACCAAGGTAAAAAGAACCACAAATATGCTTTCTAAGTTGATTTTATAATAAATAATGCGTACTGGTGAAACTAAAACGTTACAGAGTTGCCACGACTTTTAAAAAAGGTGACAACTTTGGCTTTTCAGCAATTCAACAAAATTTTCATCAGCCCCGAGGCTGTGGAATGGCTGAAATTTCTGAAAGTTGACTTTGTATGGAACAGCTGATTAACAGCTGACCAAAATTCAACAATTCAGCAATTCAACAGTTTAGGGAATCCCCCTTATATTTTTAGATTTTGTTATACAAGCCTGTTTACATCAAACCATGTTTTAAGATTTTGTTATTTCACTAAAATATTTATATCAAAGAAAAAAGACTTACGTAGGAGTCCTTTGCACCACTATTTCTCCTTCTCCTCTTTAACAAATCGACGAATGTGCCTGTTGCTGTTCATGGCTAAATATCACACATTATTAGGTATTTCACTTGCACAACTCATGGTGTTACTCACCTGTTGACGACACTTCAGATCACAACAAAATATAACACTTTAAATGTACAATAAGACAAATTAAATACAATGTTTACAAAATTTGGCGCAAACGTTGGGTTAGTGATGGTAGCGGGGTTGGGTAGTTATGGCAATCCGTTACGATTAATATTGCGACTACCGATATCGTATAATCGATGGCAATAAAAACATTCGCTAATATTATTTTTGTTTAGTTCTATGTATATAAAATTAGGTACTTATATATTTATTTTATATATCTAAGCACCAATAAAATCCTTTTGCTACTGAACCACCGCTATTGTTAAAAATATTGCTGCAGCTAAATTGCTCATTATTAAATATAAATAATATAAAAAGAAATAAAATTCATCATTTATTATTTTATTTTATCTCATTATTAAGTTTTTATTTTATTATTTTAAATTTTTTAAATTTGTTTTTATATAAACAAAATAAAGTTGTATTCGTTATTAAAATCATTATATACTTGTCAAAAATTTCATTTTACAATTTTTTTAACTCATATAGAAGTGTTCACATAGAAGTGTTCACTCTCCGATAACTCTTTGCTCTTGTAAAAAATACACACGCCACCTATTGACCCTTAAGGGACCACTGGGTGGTCGATCCCTTTTCTACCCCGAAAGTGCCACCGACCCCCTTGAGAACTACAGGGCCTTAGCCGGGGACTTTTTTCCACCTCGGTACTCAGTTGAGCTAAGGAAATAGTAAGAAAATACCACTAAAATACTAGATTTAGCGGATGAATTCTGATGAACGCCTTTAGCCGCGGCCCAAAGAATAAAATAATACTAGTCGAAAAATATTAATCTTTTAGTGAGACCGAAGTTTTCGGAGTTCATCCGCAATGCATGTAGCATGGTCTTACTCTCAACAAACAAATCAACTGGCGCCAATTTTAAAATATTACAATACGTTGAGGCGACCTGGGTCGCAAGCTTTAAATTCCCTGTTGGAATGGCGATATGTATTGCAGCAACTCCTACAGGCAGTTTTCCATTGGTTTTTGTGGTTTTCCTTCCATTTATAAATTGTTATTGGCACACCGCTTCTGCACAAACATAGCCAAAGATCAAATTTTTTATTCTTTGGTCGGCGGCTAAAGGCGTTCATCGGAATTCATCCGCTAAATCTAGTATTTATTTGGTATTTTCTTACTATTTCCTTAGCTCAACTGAGTACCGAAGGGGGAAAAGGCCCCGGCTAAAGGCTTTAGCTACCTATTTGCCTCTCGCTTACTCCTATGCTTAGCTAGCAGTTTTCGTCGTACTGAGTACTAGCCTTAAAGATCAAATTTTTTATTCTTTGGTCGGCAGCTAAAGGCGTTCATCGGAATTCATCCGCTAAATCTAGTATATTTGTGGTATTTTCTCACTATTTCCTTAGCTCAACTGAGTACCGAGGTGGGAAAAAGGCCCCGGCTAAAGGCTTTAGCTACCTATTTGCCTCTCGCTTACTCCTATGCTTAAGCCTAGTACTCAGTACGGCTAAGAGTTTTACTAGTCGAAAAATATTAATATTTTAGGGGGACCGAAGTTTTCGGAGTTCATCCGCAATGCATGTAGCATGGTCTTACTCTCAGCAAACAAATTAGCTGGCGCCAATTTAAAAATATTACAAAACGTTGAGCCGACCTGGGCGCAAGCTTTAAATTCGCTGTTGGAATGGCGATATGTATTGCAGCAACTCCTACAGGCAGTTTTCCATTGGTTTTTGTGGTTTTCCTTCCATTTAAATTGTTATTGGCACACCGCTTCTGCACAAACACAGCCAAAGATCAAATTTTTTATTCTTTGGTCGGCGGCTAAAGGCGTTCATCGGAATTCATCCGCTAAATCTAGTATTTATTTGGTATTTTCTTACTATTTCCTTAGCTCAACTGATGCCCTCTGCTCATTATGGACGCGTCGCGTTTGCATCCATTTACCGTTTAACGCGACCAAATCCCATACAAAACTTGTAGGCGAGGGGTGAGGTGGGGAGGGTGGAAAATTGTCGCGTTACAGGGCTAGAAAGTGAAATTTGTGGTATTTTTAAGCAGTATTAACCAGGCATGGACATTTTTCTGGACACGAAACTGATAAGAGGCTGATAAGAAGCGGGAAATATTATTACCGCCGCAGAAGCTACTGCTGTCGCGGGTCGCGTCAAAGAATTATTTAATTTACTGTTCAGATATATATACACTCATAAAAAAAAATCGAAGAATTTCCTTAAAATCTAGAAAATTCTTTCTTGAATTTTTGCCAAAGGCGACCTCACCTTTGTTTCAAGAAATGGTTTTTTTGAAAGGCACCATTAAAACCAGAAAAAATATTTCTTGTTTTAAGAAATTAAATTTCTTAAAACAAGAAAGGGTTTTTTAGAAAGCCACCATATAAACAAGAAAAAATATTTCTTAAAACAAGAAAGGCGATTCTTGTTTCAAAGGTGGTTTGTTTCTTGTTTCAAGAAATTAAATTTCTTAAAACAAGAAAGGGTTTTTTAGAAAGGCACCTTTTGAACAAGAAAAATTCTTTCTTCCGTTTAAATTTCCTTTCAAGAAATTTTATTTCTTGATTTAAGAAATAATATTTCTTGAAGGGAAGTTTTATATTAACACTGAAACCCTAAAAATAAAATGTAACTTGGTTTTTTCTTTTGCATATTTTATTTATTTAAATTTAAAACATTTAACACTGAACATTTAAACAATTTTAAATAACACATTTTTGACTTAAGAAAACATTATTATAACCAAATATGTAGTTGCAGGCATAAAAAATTATTTTCTTCGGCTTTCCTCATCTGGAAAAAAAGAGTTATTGGGATATCAATGATTTGTTTTTAGATAAGAATAGATAGATGTTTTTAGATAATAGATAATAATGTAATGTTAATAATAGCCAAAATACAAACACGTTGGTCAGACGACCGAGAGAGGAGCAAGACAGGTAGAAAATGAAGAAGGAAGGGTTGAAAATCTAATTTCAGAAAGAGCCACATACATACATATATATTTACATACAGTCCTTTGCGCGAAGGGAGACCGAATGTAAGCAGGTCAGATCATGACAATTTTAAGAAGGAGTAGAGAGAAACGTCGCGACGCGTAGGTCAAGCGAGCGAGAGAGAGGAGCAGAATATGAAAGGGTTGAAAATCGGGTTTCAGATCGGGTGAGCCGCGTACATGCATAGATATTTACATGCATACATAAGTATGTCAAACAAATACAACATATTTTTCTTACCTTAGAATGTTTTAAAACAAAATTACAGCTTCGCTAAACAAATTATTTGGCTGATGCAACTGCAGGTATTTTCACTCTGAAAAATAAATAAAATGCGAGTAATAAGATAAAGTTATTATAGAACTCTACACCCACAGATTTATATACAAATGTATGTATGTACGTAGCTCTTAGCTAAAAAACCATTCAACTAAATTGGTATACGCTTGGTAAAGAGATTTGAAATTTATCCTTTAATTACATACATACAATTGTACGCCCGCTATACAAAAAATTATATATTTACATACCTTTGAATATTTGGAAAAAGGCTTAACCTCTTATCCGCTTGAAAATCACGTCCATCACTCACGAATTTTTTTCACAACTGACGCTCGGGGGATCAGAGAAGTCGGTAGCCGGGTAGGCCCTTCGTCCCACTTCGTTTTTCTTGTCGTTAACATTCGGCAGCCGAAGGAAGTCAATGGCTACTTTCCTATATTCTAGGGTCATTTCATTCATATATTCAAAGGTGATTTTGTCCTAAAATACGTACAAAAATGTTTTGGCTGCGACGGCAAAACAGACATATGAGATTTTCATTTTTCTATTTTTAAGAAAAATTCTTTCTTGAATTTTTTCCATCAAGAAAGGTTTTCTGTATTCAAAGGCCAATTTTCTAATAACAAGAAATTTTTTTTCTATTTTCAAAGGTAGGCCGATTCAATGGCGAGATTTCCAAAATTTAGAAATTAATTTTTATGAGTGTATATGAACTTCTTCTGCAGCAGATCCTTTTGCTTTCTGCCGCAATAAATGTTCAAGCAGCATAACGAGGGACGTTGTTATTGCTTTCATCATTGCAGCAATGTTTCCACGCTGTTCAAATGCTGTTCTGCGATTACAATTATCAATAACAAATTATTTAAATCCATTGTTTATTTTAGCTCGCAAATGAAAATAGCAGAACAGCTGTTTTCAGACGCGTTTGCCAATGGAAACACCTCACGTCCGCCTATCGCGTTGCCAATCGAAAATACACAAAAATACCGAAAAAACCGCATAGTGGAAAAATGCCTTGAGTACCGAGGGGGAAAAAGTCCCCGGCTAAAGGCGTTAGCTACCTATTTGCCTCTCGCTTACTCCTATGCTTAGCTAGCAGTTTTCGTCGTACTGAGTACTAGGCTTAACTCCCGTTCATACCACCCGCAATGTAAATTTCTATCCACTTTTACCACGGCATGTCCTAGGCGGTGGTCATATGGCGAAGTTCTGCATTACCTTTCGCCACAAAAGGGACCGATTGGTGGTCCCATATTATACCCCTTTTCGCCACAAAAGGGGCCACCTATCGGACCATCTATCGGACCACCTATCGGTCCCTTTTGTGGCGAAAAGGGGTATGAAATGGGGTTGGTGTTTTCAATACCAAAAAAGCTGAATGCTATGAAACTTCCCAAGAAAAAATACTTTTTGTTAAATTAATTTATTGTATTATAAGTAGACAATTTTTCTATTTTTTTAATTTATATTTATTGAACAAATTCCTCTGCTGACACGTTTTTGTTGAGTGCCTCATTTTTGTTATTATTTGATTTGGATTTATTCTTAAAAAATCGTTTCTTTTGCAATTGAATTGCCTTGGGAATCAATATTTCTGCATTACCAGATTCTGAAAAAATATCTAAAAAAAATAAGATTTTAGTATTTTAAAATAAGATGAGAACAGAAACTAACTTCGGCAAGCCAAAGTTTTAATACCCTTGCAGCTTTCAGGAATAAAATTGTGACTAGAAAAGCATAAATATAAAATAAGAATAACCAACAGTTAAATGTAGACTTATTTCACGCTTTTGAAACTTGAACCGACAGACAGACGGACATGGTTAAATGGATTTACTTTATAGGTTTGAAAAGGTCTCCTTTACTGCGTAACAAACTTCTGGACTAAATTATAATTCCCTCTGCATGGGTTTAAATACATATTTTTAGTTTTTGTTATACAAGCCTGTTCACATTAAACCATGTTTTAAAAGTGAAAAGCAGAAAAAGACTGAAAGAAATAGGATTAAAGACAGATGGCATTCTAAAAAAATAGATTGAAATTGAATCAAGAAACTAAGTATATTATAAAAAATACAGTAATAAAAATAACCTACCTTGAAGTGCATCATAGAAATGTGTAAAGGAGTTTACGGCTTTTTTTTCCAGAAAGGCCTTTAACATTAAATCCCACAACAAACTCATCTGTGAGAATCCTCCGCAAGTTTTTTAAAACCCCTTCTGGCAGCAACAACGATCTCATGGCTTTTATCTAAATAGGAAGAAAACTTCACTATAATGTTTATCTCAAAGAAAAAAGACTTACGTAGGAATCCTTTGCACAACTATTAATATTTTGGTTGACTATATTTAGGGCCTCCTCATCTTTAATTGGGAAACATTTCGCCACGTTTGTGTTTTCCACTCGTTGCCGCATCAGTTGCGAAACAATAATTTATTGTTCCGCAAGAGAAAGAATTATTTCCTCAAGTTTTTCTAAAAGAAATTAAAATTTGATTATAAGAGCATTTAGCAAGGAAAAAATATACATATTTAAGAAAAGAAACATCACTGAAACCATTATTTAAAAATAATATAAATTAAATATAAATTATTTTACATTTTTTAAAAACAAAAAAATTTGGTAAGGTTTATAGTGCAAAACAAAATTTAACGTTAAAAAAATTAACATTTTACCATTTATTTCCGCGATTTGCTTCTTAACTTCGCAACAATTTGTGCACACTGACGGCTGTTGGAAAGGTTCGTCTGAAATGGAAAACGAATGTACTTTACATAACAAATTCGGTCGTAATGAGATTATACATACCAAAGGAAAAATCTGTGAAACTGCGCTTCGAGATTTTTGAAGGAGTAGCCATTTCTGTTCTTCTATTCTATCTTCAAAAAATATAAATAAAAACTAACAAAACCAATGAAACCGACACATCTGACAAAACAAACAAATCCACAAAAACAATAAACTACGACATTAATATTTATTTTTTTAAACTTCCCTAATAAAAATGAAGCATGGGAAAAATAACCATCCCACTTTCCCCTGGAATAACAACGGCCTTGCACTCTAAATTTTCTAAAGGAAATCTTTCTTCCTCTTGCATAGACATATCTTTAGCAAAATAAATACCTAAACATGTTGAAACTACTGGTAGATCATAAAACCTGTCTAAATTGGTAAATCGTTTCCCTACTATTGCTGCCCCTTGACTGTCTAATTCTATAATTTTTATTTCTGATTCAACAACATTTATGTATTTATTTGTTTATGTTCAATGAACAATGTTCACGTTTTTAATACATTTAATCCTTAACAGGTTCTGGAGTCCCATGGAGTGACCACAGTAGACGTTGCAATGGAATACAATAACGCCATTGATGCGATTCATTATCATGGCAAATTATCCAAATTGGCGGCGTTTATCACTGATAATAACAGCGTCAATGTGAGGTTCCGCCACATAACCAGTGTGCCCCACATAATTGACCGCAAACATCTTGATGACTCCATGCGCTCGGCGGGTATATCAAATCATCGATTTTTAGATGATTACGTAAGACAAACCCAACGCGGAATATTTATGGACAAGAATGTTATATTAGCGGAGCCAGAAATATTAAATTTTGAATATACACAGGCTAAAATAAGACCTCAAATTTTCGCTTATGAAAAATCCGCTAGAATAATGAGAAGAAATTTAATTACACCTAGTTTTGCACACGCAAACACTGAACGTATGGAGAGAACATTTAAAAAACTTGTAAAAGATATCCAGGATAGGATGAGAAAGTACTACGCAGTACAAGCCTCAACATTTAATAATGACGTCGAATTAAAAAGAATAATAATTCGCACTATATGCATTTTAATAAAAATAAAGGGAAGATTCGGTAAGTGATCTTTTCTTTATCTTATTATATTTCAATTAATTAACGAGGACGGAAGCTAACTTCGGCAAGCCGAAGTTTTAATACCCTTGCAGATTTCACGAATGAAAACTTGACTAGAATAGCAGCATGAATTAACAAAACAAAATATTTTATAATTGAAAAAAATTAAATTTTAAAATTTTTCACCCTTATGTTCCTATGAGCTGTAGTATACTTTTAATACAACGCTCATTAAATGTAAACTTTCGGTTTTTTTTTTGGGTGTACAGCTAGTATCAAACTGTCAGTATTAATTCAAAACTAAATAATGTAAGGAGCAGACTCAATAGTGTTAAGTAAAGCCTAGTACTCAGTTCGGCTAAGAGTTTTACTAGTCGAAAAATATTAATATTTTAGGGTGACCGAAGTTTTCGGAGTTCATCCGCAATGCATGTGCAATGGTCTTACTCTCAGCAAGCAAATTAACTGGCGCCAATTTTGAAATATTACAAAATGATTAGCCGACCTAGGTCTCAAGCTTTAAATTTGCTGTTGGAATGAGGATATTTATTGCTGCAACTCCTACAGGGAGTTTTCCATTGGTTTTTGGGGTTTTCATTCTACTTATAATATGTTATTGGCATACCGCTTCTGCACAAACACAGCCAAAGCCAGTACTCATACGACAAAACTCTAAAAAAAATGTTTCCCCTCGGCACCAGTTGACTTAAAAAATACCACTAAAATACTAGATTAGGGATGAATTCTGATGAACGCCTTTAGCCCCAAAGAATCAAATTTTTATATTTGGCTGTTTTGGGCCGACGGCTAAAAACCAATGAGGAGAAAAACCTCACCAACAGCAAAAAAATTTTTATCTTTTTTTTTTTTTTTTTTTTTTTTTTTTTTTTTTTTTGCTTTTTTTTTTTTTTTTTTAGAAAAAGAAGTTTTCGGAGTTCACCAGCAATGCATGTAGCATGGTCTTACTCTCAGCAAACAAATTAGCTGGCGCCAATTTTAAAATATTACAAAACGTGGCCGACCTGGGTCGCAACTTTAAATTCCTGTTGGAATGGCGATATGTATTGCAGCAACTCCTACAGGCAGTTTTCCATTGTTTTTGTGGTTTTCCTTCCATTTATAAATTGTTATTGGCATTTTTTCTTTACCGCGGCTGGTAAAGTAGTTCATCGGAATTCATCCGCTAAATCTAGTATTTTTTTGGTATTTTCCTTTACTATTTCCTTAGCTCAACTGAGTACCGAGGTGGGAAAAAGTCCCCGGCTAAAGGCGTTTTAGCTACCTATTTGCCTCTCGCTTACTCCTATGCTTAGCTAGCAGTTTTCGTCGTACTGAGTACTAGGCTTTAAGACTAAATAGTGTTAAGTTTATGTCCTGAGTTTAATTTCTATACCGAAGTTTTCGGTTTTCGTTCCTGGTGTGAAGCCAGGATGCTCTGGTTTGGAACCTGGACATTTCGAACAGAAAAAGTGTTACCGCTTTTCAGTGTTATTCGACGCGTTAGTATTTTAATGGTTTGACATTAGTGTATTTTGTAAACGACGCTGCGGTCTGTTTAAGGTTTGTTTGTGAAAATTACTTGTGAAAATTTTAATATTTGCTTATTTTGGGCTTATTTGAAATGTAAGTACATTAAAATTGTGTCTTAGTGCATAACTAATGAGTAAATTCTTTTCTTTTTACTGACACCACCTTGAATTGCGCTCCAGATGCCGGCAAACTAAGGATTTTGCAATTGGCTTGCATTTTTTCAGACCGCGGCCAGCGCAATGTTAACTTCAATATCAGCGTCCTCGACCAAGCTTCGGTTTTCATCTGGACGGCCTTCACTCTGGAGATGATCAGCGACATAAGCGGTAAAACGGCTGCATTTGCCCAAATATGCATACAAACGTACATATTTTGTACATGTATTTTATTTATGTTTATTTGTTAAATTAAAAATTAGCTTCAGTAATTTATAAAAATGTAAAAAATATTTTTATTAATATATGAAAAGTACAAAATAACATTTTTTGAATTTTGTCTCTTTAATACGGGGTATAATATTTATACTGGCATTATACTAAATAGGATACAAAATAAACTAGCAGCCTAAATTTTAGTACACTGAGTGAATTTTTGAATTTTGTCTCTTTAATACGGGGTATAATATTTATACTGGCATTATACTAAATAGGATACAAAATAAACTAGCAGCCTAAATTTTAGTACACTGAGTGAGTATAAACTGTATACTCGTTAGTTTAAACTTGACAACTTCGAAAGTTTCATTTTTATACTTTCGAAGTCCATTAGCTTAATACTCAGAGTATCGAGAAATTTTTGACACTCAATAGTTTACTTTTAATGTAGAAATAGTTTAGTTTCTATGATCATTTTTTTGTGTAGTATACTTTTAATACAACGCTCATTAAATGTAAACTTTCGGTTTTTTTTTTGGGTGTAATTAACCACATTGCAAAAATCCCTGAAATCTGAGTACTATTTTTTTGCCGTGGAGGGAAATGAATATATCATAGTCATTGGCCTGCTCCCCCGATTTCGTAGAATATCAATTGCACATTCCTAGCCATGTTGGAGGCACTTGTAAATGGCAGCCAAGAACAAGATAGGTGGTCCCCGCCTCTGGTGACAAATGTTCCTCGGGGCGACAATGTAAAGGAGGCGACCACCGAAGCAGGGTCCTCGGCGCACCGGACCAGACCAGGTTCCTCCCGCTCAAGATGACAAATCACATGTGCTGACATTTGACATCGGTGCTGGGGGATTAACATGTAATGGCCAGGGCCCTCGACTCCTCGGGGCAGTAAAAGTGTTGGCCAGCGCCCAAGGCAAACACAGTTATTATGGGACCTGCTGATGGTGCTCCTCCGCCACTCGGACTCCTCCTTTTCATGGCCACCAGACCGTGGACAGACCGACCACACAAGTGGCCAAGTGGCTTCTGCTTTGCATAAATGTCCCAGCCTCCTTCGGCTGGGTTCCCTATCTCGCCAGCGGCTGCCTCCTCGTCGGTGGCTTGTTTAATTAAAAAATTAAGTTCCAAATCCCAGACCATTAAAAAGATTTTTATTTATACCTTTTAATTTCATCAATCGTTGCGACGGCAGGTGCCGTCCATATCCATATCCATGTTCCAGGCCCCGTCCTTCGTCATTTACCCACCCTCCCCGCGAAGTTTGTTTTCTTGCCCTCTTCTCTTTAGCTTTTTAGCTTTTAACAGGAAACAATTTCATTTGCGAGCAGAAATTCTTTTCAAATCTGCCGCCGTTAAGCAAAAAGAAAACATGCCAAGAAATAATAATAAAAAAATTGAAAAAAAACTATAAGGTGACTGAGAAAAACCAATCGATGCTCTTATAAAAAGTCCTTGCACTAATTTAAAGAGGTGCATTTTAATTCTTGAAAAGTATTTAAAATTTAAATACTATTTATTGAGTAATCTTTGACTTCAAATCATTACGAAAATAAATTGTTTATCCATGAGAAAAATATATTGAAAATGCTATTCTATTTTTAATCTTTTAAATCTAAAAAAAATTAATTCTTTATTTTCTTATTTTCTGGCTATTCTTATTGAGCAAAATCAACGATTTTCCTTTCGGCAGCGCATAGCATTTTCGGTGTGGTAAAGCCCAAAAATGTCGTTGGTAAGCTCGGTTTCCTTTTTGGCCAGAACGTTTTGTTGGCCGTTCGGCTTTCGGGCCAAAAACCCACGGGCTCCGAGGCAGTTGCCTTTGGCTTTCGAGGAGCCGCTGTGGCTCAGTTTTGGTTTATGAATGTCGCCATGTTGCTGGGGCACGGTGGTGCAGGGTGGCTCAGGGTGGTGCAGGGTGGAGCCGTGGCACATTCCACACACAGAGCGACAGGATGAAACTGTTGCCTGCATACGGCATGCATATTTCGTATTTTTAGTACAGCCATTTAACATCATCAACTTAAATATGCGTGCAAGATTTATGCACACGTCGCT